ACCTGATGTTATTACATATAATGCAATGAGTAAATAGATTTTATTTTATTTTATTTTTAATTATCTAATTTTGTCTACTTTGTCATTGAAGTTAATGCATATGGAAAAAATCGTATGGGATTAGAAGCTATTGATTTATATCGAAAGATGCCTAATAAATTACGCAATGAAATTTCATATAGTTGTATACTGAATGCATGTTCACATTCAGGTCTTCTTGACGAAGCTTATTCAATTTTCAATGAAATTTCTCATAAAACGCAACAAGTTATTACTACAATGGTATGGTTTTTTTATATTTTTTGTTTAATACAAAGATTTTGCCATGATTTAGGTTGATTGTTTAAGTCGTCTTTCTTTATTTGATGAAGCAAAACAACTCATAGAAGATTATGAAAAATGTAATGCACCAGATTCAGTAATGTATAGTGAGTGTTTCTGTTTTCAATATAAAATTATTTTTCTTAATTAATAATTTTTAATTCTAGTGGCACTTCTATCTGGTGCACGTAATTCTCGACAATCTCATTTGTCACAAGAAATTCATAAACGAATGAAATTACTATTTCCAAATGAAAAAAATCTTTTAATATCTGCTTCAATTCTTCTTTGTAATATATTATCATCGTTAGGACATCATGAAGAAGCACAAGCTATTCGATTAGATCGAATTAAAGAATTCGGAAATAAAGTTAAAGCAGGTTTATCATGGACTGAAGTTAATGGGGAAGTAGTGGTAAGAGAATTTTCTTATGAAAAATAAAACTCTAAAGAAAATAGTTTATTAATTATTTTTAGCAATTCACAGCTCATGATCAGTCTCATCCTCAATCAAAAGAAATCTATGCTGAGGCTCAACGAATATCATCGGAACTAGTTAAATATGGGCATGTCCATGATGGAAGTTGGATTACTCGTCCATTACGCGAATATGAAACAGTTGAATCTGTTTTGTGTTCGCATAGTGAAAGATTGGCTATTGCCTTCAATTTTATTGAAGGAAGGAAACCATCTTTCATTCAAATCACGAATAATCTTCGTGTTTGTGGTGATTGTCGTAAGTTATTAGTTTTTCTCAATCGTTCTCAGTAACGTCTGTATATCGTTTTCTAGATCGAGCTACAAAATTAATTGCCAAAATTCGGCAAGTGGAGATTGTGGTTCGTGATGCTAATTGCATTCACCACTTTTCGACAAATGGTACATGTTCGTGTCAAGACCATTTTTAGTTTTTTTTGAAAAAATAAATGTATAAGATGGTCTAGTCATTATCTTTTACATTAACAGATTGGCTATATACAAATTTTTTAAGAAAGTAGCTATGTGCATCCAGATGGATATAATTAATTAATTGGGTGTGGGCGTGGGTGTGGATGGGTGTGGGTAGGAGTGAGTGTGAACATATGATAACACAAAACCTACACCCACACCCACACCCACACCCTCGCACAGTACGTGTAGATCTTTTTCGTTTTCAATTTTTAGTCTTTGGGATTTTGAACTTTTTGTGAATATCTTGTCTCGAGAATGTGAGTGTGACTACGAGTATTAAATCTAGCACGCACCTGCAACCAGCCACACCCACCTCATCCTCACCCACCCATCCACACAGTCAAGATATCCACACCCACATTCAAAGTCAGCCTCAAGATGTTAGGATTTATTAAAGTTCATCTTTTATTTTACAGTGTAGTAGCTGTCGCTAGAACAAAATTAGTTTGTTTGAAAATGTCAATAAATAGTTATTTCGAAAAAAACTTATATTTAAACAAGAGGTACTCCTATTAAAACGTAAACGTAATGATAGACGTTCTTTCCATCCAGGCGGCGTTGTTCTGCAGCAGACGCGCAAATAGGTATTTTACCATCTTTGTCTTCGAAGAATTCGAATGCATCTCTACCATTATTCTCCATGACCGCAAAGGCTGCCACTGATGTTCCATGATGTTGCTTGACCATTGTGACATTGCATATAGATGGTTTCTTGTATCCATTCTCTATAAACAACCTTTGAAGACATTTTATTCCGGGTCGACCGCTAAGATTCAGTATTACGGCAGCATGTGGAGCACGTTCAGCCGCCTGTTGCAGTAATGCTGCATTTAAAGCAAGACCAATATCATCCCAATGTGTCCCTTTTGATTCATAATAATGGGCAAAATTATCCATGTCCATTAGATTTATACTTGCTGGTGCGGGTACTTGCGGAATACAACCGACAATATAATCAACATTGGCTAATGTATCATCCGACACATTACACAGTAAATCTGATTGTGAAAGAGTTACATTCCACCGTTCTTTAAGTGCTAGTGCTGATGATGCGTTGATGGCTTCTTGACTGATATCTGTACCAATGAAACGAGCGGGTGGACAGGGTAGAGACAGAAGACCAGCCATATTAATGCCTGTACCAACACCTATTTCAAGAACGGTACTATTGTAGAAACCGGGTATGCTTTTGAACACGTTTTTCAAACCCTGAGCAAATCCTTTGGTCCAATCATCAGGAAGAAACAAATTGGGAGAGCGTTCGATTTTGATGTCATGCGTAATGTTAGCATAAAAATCACGCACACGGATCATTTCGATGGCGCCATTGGAAGCGTATTTTGTATTG